GATGGATTTCAAGCTAACCAATCAGAGTGCTCTGTGTCATTTTACACAGCGTGGGAAAGTTCTTTGGAATTTTCCCACGCTGTGTAATTTGACTCATAACAACACTCTGATTGGTGGAATGAAAGTAACCAATCAGAGAATTATGAGTCAGATTGCACAGCGTGGGAAAATTTCAAAGAACTTTCACACGTTGTGTAACATGACATAGAGCACTATGATTGAATGGATTTCAAGCTAACCAATCAGAGTGTTCTGTGTCATTTTACACAGCGTGGGAAAATTCCAAAGAACTTTCCCACGCTGTGTAAAATGACACAGAGCACTCTGATTGGATGGATTGTTAACCTTGTTAAAAGTATTTATTGAGTTTGTAACCTATCCATAAGCTTGTCTATTACTAAGGTAAGTTGTGGCACTTTGGGGCACGACCATTTTTGTGCTAATGCCCTACGGGCCGCTAAGTTTATCATGTTTAGGAGTTTTTGTTCATGTTTAGTCAGGTTGTCCGTAGGTCTAGATAGTAGGCTTGCCCATGGGTCTTGGTTCATTCTCCTCTGTAGGGTCTGAGAGCCAAGAGTCTGCTACCATTGGGCACCCGTGGATATAAGTATAGCTTTTTTTTTTACATGGAGAATCAACACATTAATGTATATAGTTTTTTATTTTATTTTACACAAACATATTTATTCTACAATTTTATATTTATAAAATTATAACATACAAAAGATGGGAATGAAGCAGCAGACTGTGCTCTACACTTTAATACCTGACTTTAATATGTAATAAAGTGAGTGAAAAAATTGAAGGTATAACGCAGGTCAACCTAACTAATTGCACTCAAGTGGGACTCCATACATTAGAGTATCTCCTTGTAAAACATGCAAATCAGGGAACGTGTTGGGAATACCAACTCTGCTATATCCCACCACACTTTGGAGATGGCCGTACACCACATACCCACAGGCTGTGGTGAGTCTAGGGAAACATTAACATTATTTGCACCTCAATATTCTTGCACATGTAATTGAGTATTGGGAGACAAAAATTGGAAAAAGTAATAATAATCATGCCAAATACTAAGTCATAGGCACATGTAAAGAATGCATACCATACATTTTCTGTATGATGAAATCTATCAGATTTAAATCGCTACACATGACTCCATATCTGAATAATTGCGCTGCAATTACATCCTCTGCTATATCAGTTATCTTTAATGGAACTACTTTTTTGGATCAATTAATTTACTTCAACCACATTTAGAGTAAAGAATTACCAGAATGGAACAAAAAAGTAAAAAATACCACAAAAAGCAGACTTAAAACGCTTATTTATATTTTCAATTTGCCTCACAGGCAATTAAAGAATTAGATAATACAGTACAATATACACACTACTCAAGATAATAACTGTAGTGAGATGTATACAGATACTTAACTTAATTATTACAGCCTCCCAAGATCGTTACCCAGAGAGAACGACCTTTTAACATAGATAACCACAAGCAACACAGAACTTCGGGATACGGCTGGAAAGTTAATCTAAAAGGAACACAAAAAATATACACAAAATAGTGAAGTACAATTAACACATGGTTTTCCGCTGAATACAAATGCACTCACAGAATGAAGTAGAATATATCGCTCATAGGGTGCCTCCCCTAGTGGAATGGGGGGTTGGTAATCCCTTGGCTCCTTCTAGGCTTCCTTAATAATGCTCAGGACTCCAAACAGGTAATGGTAGAAAAAAGATGTATTTATTGATAAAAGGTGAATATTCACCATCAATATAAGGTATAATAAAAAGAAGAACGGTATGGTCCTACGCGTTTCGTTCTGCAAAGAACTTCATCAGGGACCGTATATAAAGAATAAAATCAATATACAATTACAGTATATAAAAAAACATCCTATTCCCCCCATCCCTGAGTCCTCTTTAAAAAAACATCCTATTCCCCATGTTCATTGGTGGTTCCGTGGGTGGTATCCAGTGACTGCTGTTTAATTGGTTCTGGGAAGGAGCTGTTCAGCTGTTTTTCATCCTCCCTGTGTTGCTATAATCAATTTTGGCGCGTTCGGGCGACCGGAACCGGAAGTGGGAAATGAATCGCACTTCCGCGTTCCACTTGCGTTCCACATGCGTTCCACCCGCGGCTGAAATGCGTTCCACCTTCATTGTGTCTCAGTGTAAATGTATGATCAGGAGAAAACAATAAAAAAACACAAAATATTCTATCTGCTAAAGAGAAAAAAATATTAGTAACCTTATTTACTTAATATAATCAATCACCATTAGGTTATTATAATTAAACAGTATCACACTGTATTTCTTAAAGTGAAAGGTGCGTTCAAAGTGCACAATTTATATAATACATGTACTCCTATTATCAACAAAACATTATATTTCAAGTGTAACATGCATGATTAGACTATATGATATATATCAATATCCATTAATTATTAGTAAATGGTTCGTGCCATAAGAATTTTTTAGAAGAATAACATAACATAAAAAAATATATATAGAAATTATAAATTGGAATTAAAAAGAACTAAATTTTATAGTGTTCCTATAGAGAATCTCCAATATTAAGTGGAGTTACACATATATCTAATATCCCAAGTGGTTGTGTTTTGCCCATTGATTAATAATTGTATACAGGATAATATTTTTATCAATACCTGTATATCTCCAAAATACAAAAAGGCCGTACTCCCAAATATAGTTAAATTCCTGAATATTGAAAAAAATCCAACTAGTGTATATAGTATATATACAGGACAATTTAGCTATATATTTACTTTTATATAACCCATATGGAGGACGGAAGGTTGTATTTTAGTCAGAATCATCATCATTCATAGAATAATGATGTATAAGGAAATAAATGTATGTATAAATAAAAATCAATTTTGGATTCTAATCCAAAAAACAAACTAAATCGATACCAATATTGAGGCCCCTCGGTTCTAGAGTATTTAACCGATGTATCCAGAAAGTCTCCCTTTGGGATAGTTTCTGGATTCTATCACCCCCTCGCCAGAATGGAAAAACTCTTTCAATGCCCATAAAGATAAAATCCCGAAAAGTAAATACTGGACAATTAGAACAATGGGCCGAAACTGAATGAGTTTGAAGTTTCTTCTTGATATTATTCAGATGTTCAAGTATTCTGACCTTTAGAATCCTCTTTGTACGCCCCACATATTGTTTGCCACAGGGACACTGTAGTAAATAAACCACATAGTCCGAGTGGCAACCAATTTCAGATTTCACCTTGAATGTTTCCCCTGTGACGTTACTATGGAACAACTGTATTTTGGACAATGATGTAGTAATACAGGCCTTGCAGATTCCACAGCCTCTAAAAAAAACAATAGTGGAAGAAGAATGGATATTAGGAGGTTTAATAGCGTAGCTAGGAGCCAGTAGGTTCTTAAGATTCTTATTCTTTTTATAGATCACCATAGGGCGATCCGATAAAGACTCTCCCAAAACTGGGTCCCGAAGTAAAATGGGCCAGAAATCCTGCAAACTTTTTTTGATTTTATGATGGTCGGTATTGTATTGAGTTATAAAAGATGATTTGAAGTTTTTATTATTTTCATTTGTACTGCCCTTGTCTTCTAATAATGAACTACGTTGTACCGAGCTGATGGAACGGATTTCTTTGTCCAAAGCATTTCTTTTATAACCTCTATCCATAAGCTTTTTCTTAATATATAATGATTGGGTCCTAAAATCCTGAGGATTAGAGCAATTACGTCTGACACGTGTAAACTGACTTCTAGCTATGCCCCGTAACCACGGTTTATGGTGACAGCTACGTTGGTGTACGTAGCCGTTACCATCTGTGGGTTTGAAGAAACATTTGGTCTGTATTTGTTCTTGATCACAGAAAAGGACCAGGTCCAAAAAGTGAATTTCATATTTATTCCATACTGGAGTAAAGACCAGATTGTACTGGTTGCAGTTAAGGTATTGAACAAACTCCTGAAAAGCAACCGAAGATCCCTTCCAAATAATAATAACATCATCAATATACCGCCGCCATAGGACCAGGCTCTCCCTCCAGCCATGCCCAGACCACACAAAAAGTTCTTCCCATCTTCTCACGTAGGTGTTGGCATAGCTGGGGGCGAACCTGGTACCCATGGCGGTCCCAGTGGTTTGTAAATAATAATCACCATTAAAGAAAAAATAATTGTGATCCAAAATAAATTGAACTGAAGAAAAAATAAACTCTCTATGACCTACAGATAATCTATTATCTTTGGACATATAATAATCAATGGACTCCAAACCTAAGTGATGACTGATCACAGTATACAGAGAGGTCACATCTAGTGTGGCCCAACTGTATTCCGATTTCCATTCAATACACTCCAGTTCTTGTAAAAAAGATTTTGTATCGCGCACATAGGAAGGCGCTCCCTGTGCATATTTCTGCAAAAAAGAATCAACGTAGGCAGATAGATTAGCTGTTAGTGAATTTACACCGCTAATAATAGGACGCCCTGGTGGATTAGGGAGGCGTTTGTGTGTTTTAGGAAGAAAATAAAAAATCGGTATAACAGGGTTTTTTTGAAATAAAAAGTCTAAATTTTTTTGAGTAATAATCCCACTGTTATATGCCTGATCTAGAAGGATCCCAAGTTCCATATTAAAACGTGACGTTGGGTCATTGGCTAGAGTGGTGTAAGTATTTTTGTCCCCCAATATATTAGCAGATTCTTCTAGATAATAGGAGGTGGTCATCAAAACGATGCCACCACCCTTATCCGCCTCCCTAATTATTAGATCATCACGATCCATTAAATTTTTTAAAGTTTCTTCCTCTCTTTTGGTAAAATTAGAGGCTCGGGATCTTTTCTTATCATTTGTACTAAAAGACTGGAACGTTTGATTCACCATATGTTCAAATGTCTCTAAAAACGGACCTTTGCTTTGTATAGGAAAAAAATGTGATTTACGTTGAAAATTATAATTAGAAGGGGTGATTGAAACATTCACGGTGTCATCCGAAGGTGGTGGGTTTAAGAGAAAATGTCTTTTAATAGTTAGTGAACGAATAAATTTCTTTAAATCTATAAAGAGGTTAAAATCATTACAGGTTTTACTAGGAGCAAACTTCATTCCTTTAGACAATAAATTAATCTCATCATCTGTCAGGGGGGTATTGGTTAAATTAAAAATACCTCTATCTATTTCCCTTTGTACCAAAGGATAGACAACCTTGGATGGTGTAACTAATCCTCTGTTCTTACTCTTTTCGTCGGTGAGTTCTGATATAGAGGGGCAAATCGATTGGTATGTTCCCAAGTTTCCATCCTTGGGCGGAAATAGTTGGTGATAGTTTTTTCTTTTGGACCCCGTGGTCTCCCCTGAAAATTTATTTCTCGGTCATTATACTGTGTATTTTTTCCTTGAGTCTCTGTTGTATCCCTTGTAGCTTGGGCATATGATCTTAAATTATGTGTCCTTTCAGGGGACTTGTTCCTAGATAAATGAGGATTAGTTGGTACTCTATTAAATGTCTCTTGGTGACCATTTAATCCATCATGTTGTGATCTGGGAAAGTTTTTTTGTCTCGCCCCAGATTGGGAATTTGTTCTTATTCTATTAGGGGGAGGTCGTGAACTATTTCTCTTCCTATTGTTATATGACGGAGTGTGTAGTCTCCTTCTGCGTACTTTATTTCGCATTGAAAAAGTTTCTAACAATTTGTCTTCCCTGTCCCTACTATATTTTTTATTTTTTGTTTCTGCAATTTTTTCATCTAATTTTTTTATATTATTCTGAAGGATTTCTTCTCTCTCTTTAAATTCTTCACTTTCAAACCCAGAGGGTGGATTTATATCCAAATCCATTAACTCAGATTCTAATTTATTTTGTATGTCTTTTGAATATTTTATAATGAGTTGAATTAACTGAAAGGAACAATTCATTAAAATTTCATCCCATTCTTGTAAAAAAAGGTCATCCTCCAGTCCAAATGCTGGAGTTTTATCTATCCTCAGACCCCTGGGAATAAGACCCTCTTTGAGATAATTCTCCAAATAAGCTACCTCCCACCACTTCTTAGTTTCGGCAGCCAACAATTTTTCTTTCTTTTTGAAAAATTCATCTAGCCCCTTAAAGGGTTGTGGTTTCTCCCACTCTTTAAACATAGCCTCAAACTTCTTTTGCCGATTAGTTTGTAAATTCGATAAAAAATTGGCATTAGTAGCCATACTTTGTCAAATAGATATATGTGTAAAAGAAACTGGGTAAAAAACAGATAATACAGTACAATATACACACTACTCAAGATAATAACTGTAGTGAGATGTATACAGATACTTAACTTAATTATTACAGCCTCCCAAGATCGTTACCCAGAGAGAACGACCTTTTAACATAGATAACCACAAGCAACACAGAACTTCGGGATACGGCTGGAAAGTTAATCTAAAAGGAACACAAAAAATATAGTGAAGTACAATTAACACATGGTTTTCCGCTGAATACAAATGCACTCACAGAATGAAGTAGAATATATCGCTCATAGGGTGCCTCCCCTAGTGGAATGGGGGGTTGGTAATCCCTTGGCTCCTTCTAGGCTTCCTTTATAATGCTCAGGACTCCAAACAGGTAATGGTAGAAAAAAGATGTATTTATTGATAAAAGGTGAATATTCACCATCAATATAAGGTATAATAAAAAGAAGAACGGTATGGTCCTACGCGTTTCGTTCTGCAAAGAACTTCATCAGGGACCGTATATAAAGAATAAAATCAATATACAATTACAGTATATAAAAAAAAAATGTAACATGTACATGTAATTGAGTATTGGGAGACAAAAATTGGAAAAAGTAATAATAATCATGCCAAATACTAAGTCATAGGCACATGTAAAGAATGCATACCATACATTTTCTGTATGATGAAATCTATCAGATTTACATCGCTACACATGACTCCATATCTGAATAATTGCACTGCAATTACATCCTCTGCTATATCAGTTATCTTTAATGGAACTACTTTTTTGGATCAATTAATTTACTTCAACCACATTTAGAGTAAAGAATTACCAGAATGGAACAAAAAAGTAAAAAATACCACAAAAAGCAGACTTAAAACGCTTATTTATATTTTCAATTTGCCTCACAGGCAATTAAAGAATTAGAGTGAATTGATTCTTTCCAAGCGATTATCTTGTGTAACCTAATTTATTCAAAATGGAAGCTTAACTTTTCTGATTCTGCTAATTACATCTTTAACCCTCTCATTACTTAGCACTATTTTATTGAAGTATATTAGCATAACCTTTATTTAAAACAAAGGGTACATAGTATATAAACATATAACACAGCAATTTTGTGTTTATCTTATTTTGAAAACTTAAAAATTTAACTTATGTAAATTAAAATAACAATTAAAAGCTTTAGACAGTATATAAAGTGCCCTTAAAATTGTAGTATTTTACACATTGTTGAGATATAATTGTTGAAGGCAAAAAACTGCTTTAGCAATCTTTATCACTGTCCGGACTGCTAATGTAATGGTAACAGTGAAATGGTAGAGCCCAATCACTACCCCCTTCCCTGACTCCTGGAATAATACAACTCATTCAAATTACCTTTACTGTTTGGAAGCAAGATGTGAGCTTACATTTCAGCAAGCATACAAGTATTATATGGTGTTGGTGTTTAAATGCAGATGTGTATTTGTGTGTAGTGTTGGCAATTGAATGCAGGGCTGTTTTTGTGCACAGGGCTGACATTTGAATGAAGGTGTGCATTTGTGTATAGTGTCAACATTTAAATGTCAGAGTGTTTGTGTGTAGTGTTGGTGTCTGAATGCAGGGATGTGTTTGTGTATACTGTTGGTGTTGAACATAAATACTCACCACAGAAAAGCATAAAAACTGCCACACAAAGTTACACGCCAAACACAGTCCCAAGTAGACAGTAAAAGGCAGTCATACACACACACACACAGTTACAGGCAGACAGTCACATACACAGTCAGTCATACACAGGCAGTTACACACACAGTTTAAAGGAGACAGTCACATACACACATACACAAAGCTGCAGGCAACCACAGACAGACAGTTGCGCACACCTAAGGCAAATCAGTCACATACAGTTACAGGTAGACAGTCACATACACAGTCACACACACTGTCCCAGGCAGGCAGTCATGTTCACACAGTTATACACAGTCATACAGTCACACAGTTACAGACAGTCACACACACACACACACACAGTTACAGGCAGTCATTCACACACACAGTTACAAGCATACAGTCTCCCATACACAGTTACAGGCAGACAGTCACACAGTTACAGGCAGACAGTCACACACACACACACACACGCACACACACACACACACACTCACACACACACAGTTACAGGCAGTCTATCTCTCTCTGACACACACACAGTTATAGACAGTCGCACACAGTTGCAATCAGACCCACACACACACACACACACACACAGTTACAGGCAGTCTCTCTCACACACACACAGTTATAGACAGTCACACACAGTTGCAGTCAGACGCACACACACACACAATTACAGGCAGTCACACACACAGTTACAGGCAGACAGTTACATACACAGTGACAGGCAGACAGTTACACAGAGTAACAAATAGTCACACACAGTTACAGACAGTCAGTGACACACGCAGTTACAGACAGACTGTCAGTCAGTCACACACAGTTACAGACAGTCACACACACACACACACACACACAGTTATGGCAGAAAGTTACATACACAGTCAAAGACAGTCACACACAGTTACAGATAGTCACACACACAGATACATACAGTCACACACACAGTTTAAGGCAGTCACACACAGTTACAGACACACACAGTTACAGGTAGACACACAGTTACAGGCAGACACACAGTTACAGACACACACACACACACACACACAGACAGGTACCTTTCTACATTATGCTCTGGAAGGGGGAGTAGTGAAGGCTGCAGCCCCTGTCTGGAAGTTGTGGATGCAGGAACTCCTTCCTGCTTCCCCCTCTGTGTGCAGCATAACTAGACAGCGGGTAGAGGGCACACTTAGCGCCGCCGGCTGATGATTTAGCCCCACCCCCACAACTGGTTTAACTCCGCCTCCTCTGTCGATCTAGCTCAGACTCTTCATCAGTGTGTGAGCTGTGTCGGCCGCCTGGTGCCCCTGCTGTTATGGTTTTCCTTTGTGGTCGCACAGCTTGCACATCCCTAAGGCTGGCCCTGCATATGAGATACATAAGAGATGCACACACAGACTGCCATATAAGCAAAGATACACTGACACACTCATGCATCAGTCCACAAACACTGACAAACTGACAGACACACAAGCACGATCCACAAACAAAGACACACATGCACAGATAATCATAGACACAAATATGCAAACACTGACAGAGATGCACAAATTCATATGCAGATTCACATACACGGACCTACATAATTATTATCCTTTTTCCAGGCAGAGATTTGTCTGCTCTATCTGAATCAGTTTCTATCACAAATTGTTCAAATCAATACTGCATATTTACATAGCTTGCATAAATTCACTTGTAATGTTCTTACCCATTATTTTGACAAAACAAGTGACATGGTTCATATAAATTTCAAATGTAACCTTCTTCCCAACACAGATTCAAAGTAAGATATTTGGATATGTATATGTGGGTACATTCCTACAGAAAATTGAACTCCATGGAAGTGAGTATGCTAATGCTTTTTCAGCATTCTGTTAATACACTCCATAGAGCCTTTGATTGAGGGTGATACTGTATGTGAAAATTCTATTGTGTCCCAAACATATTACAAATGTATCACACAATGGGGACCATTATCAGACTTGATGATCCTCAGAATCTAAAACATTTGAAACAAAATAATCTGTTTTGAGGGTGATACTGTATGTGAAAATTGAAGATTATGCTAGCTTTAGTGTACTAATAATCTTAATTTTAATAATGACAGGAGGCGAGTATTTTGCATATCTCTCTTTACTAACTCCATACAGCAGTAAAGAAACACATAGAAAAAAGAACCAATCACAGGAGAGCAGGATGTACACAAAGCAATGTGACCTTATCATTTCCTCTTTCAGAAAGCGACAACAAGCAGAAGTAAATATATAGCAAATAATAAAACTAATAATAACTCCAAGTTTCCATGTGCAAAGGAGCAAACTTCCAAA